CACAACAGTCTTATAGTAGTAAGTTCTCCTGGGTATTTTGGAGTCGACACAGCTTTTCACCAAAATCTCTTCTCGTACGAATGCGTCTTTCGAAAGTGTAGATTTACAGAAATAAAAGCTTCAGGGAGAGCTAGACATCAGGTTTCATTCTCTTCTCTTTCAGATCAGTTTATTTTTAGAAGAATGTCGAGACATCGAACTACATAAGATGTTGTGTTTTTCATTTTGTAGTTTCCCAACACACACACTGACACACACACACACACACACACACACACACACACTCTCTCTCTCACACACACACTCACACACACACAACACACATACATACACATAATGCAGATAGATAGATAAATAGATAGATAGATAGATAGATAGATAGGTAGATCTAGATAGAAAGATAGATAGATAGATAGATCTAGATAGAAAGAGATAGATAGATAGATAGATAGATAGATAGATAGATAGATAGATAGATAGATAGATAGATAGATAGATAGATAGATAGAAAATAGACAGAGAGAAAATATATAGATAGATAGATAGATAGATAGATAGATAGAAAAAAAATAGATAGAGAGAAAATAGATAGATAGGATATATACATTCTTCTTCTGAAGGCTTCAGGTCTGGAGCAGACATTCTCGATCATGGTAGCCCACTCTTTTCTGATATCTGTCTTTTTGGTCAGCTCGGGTTTTCTCACTGCGTTATTTGTTGCAAACTTGTAAAGCTTTCTGTGTATATTGCCCTCCTCTGCATTTCTTTCCCCCTATATTTTCACATATTAGCAGTTTGTTTAGTCCATTGAACTATTTGTATGGCCAAAGAATCCCTGCTGTCTTTGTCTGATGGTTTTGATTATTGATCTTTCATAACCCGCTACAGGAGCGTTTCTCTATTTGCTTTTCTATCTGTCCACGAGATTCTGTGAAGGTTTTTCTCCTTAATTCAATACACCATATCAGCGGCCTCCAGGATTCTCTTTGTGTCTTTGTTTAGAGACCAGGCTCTCACTTCCATACAAAAAGATTGACCACACGCACACTTTCAAGGTTTTTGTCTTTGTTTTTGACAGACAGTAGATAGATAGATAGATAGATAGATAGATAGATAGATAGATAGATAGATAGATAATACATTTAGTGTCAATGTGTTCCACAATGATATATCATGTTTTTTATTATGTAAATAACATAATTTATGAAAATGCAAACATGTAAAAGGAGGCTCTCGTGGCCTAGGGATTAAGGTGCCTCTCATTCAAAGGTCCCGGGTTCGAATTCGAGTAGCGACCGAAATATTTTCTTCTCTAAAATTGTCTCCTTTCACCTCCTTTCCTGCTCTCTAGCAATGTTCTGTCATGTGCTTTCGTCTCCACTTTCTACCCCACGACTCACCTCCTTTGCCCCTTCTCTGGGCTCCTGACTCTTTCTGCAGCTTTTCTACTGCTACTCCTTGGCTCCTTACTGTTGTCTTTCAGCCACACCCCTGATCTTCTGGTAGGAAAGATTTACACCTAGCCTTCTTGGACAAGGACGAAAAAATCTTGAAAGTCTCGTGTGCAAGTTGCGCACGTTAAAGATCCCTTGGTGGTCTAAAATCGATAAGAGTAGGCTTAAGCCGCCACCTGGGCAAAAGTCAAAATTTTCTACTGAATGAAAATTATGTTTCATGTGTCCCGTGCGCTCATATAACCTTATGTAGGTGCGAGCGCCGTAAAACACTTACCAAAAGAAAAGACATATGTAAATATGTTCACTTTTAAGGACAAGCGGGCTAACCCAGATTTCGAGGGTTTCCAGAAATCTTGACCTACACCAAAAGTGGGCATTGCCCTACATAGGAGAAGTTTGGTTTCATTTGTGTATAGATACATGTATATATATTATTTGTTTGGTTATAGAGAAAACTCTCCTTGTCTTTTAGAGAGACTGAACAATGGGCAAAAATGTTACCTTCGATTTTCTCAAAACAGCATTTTTCGGGATAGCCCCCTTGTCCTTAAAACCGACCATATATCGGTGTCCAGGGAAGATGAAACTGTCGGACGTAAACCAGGTGTTGTCGTTTGAATTGTCATAGGATTGTTCCATCGGATGGTCTCTTTGACTTCTTCGATCTATCTTTTTCATGCCCCCCCCCCCTTGCCTTGGCTTGGCGCCTTTAAATCTCGTGGTGAGGCTGATGGTAGATCACATAGTTTGCATTTTGGATTCTTGCTTAAATTTCTCTGTCCACTTTCGTGTTTGACGTGAATATGCTTCCAAGATGTAGTTGAATTCTTGAATATATTTCAGTTGAGTGTTGCTGACTTGGACATTCAGTAAGCTTGGTGTTTTCGAGATCCTCATTAATTTGGTTTTAGCTGTGCTTAATTTTCCCCAATTTATTTGGCCCATACTTTGTTATATTTATATATTTGTTATATTATATTCTTGAAGGCTGCCCTGGCCTTGGTGTCTAAGCCGCTGATCGTCTGCAACAGAAGTTCGCAAAGCTATTCTTGGTCCTAATTTGATTTCTATTGTTATCATCTCCGTGCAGACTATGAAGAGTAGTGGGGAAAGGACACAGCCTTGTCGGACACCTGATGTCACTCAAACTTTAAATCAGTCCGCGTTTCCCTTGCTAGTTTTTACATAACTCAGACTATTTTCATAAAGAGCTTTGGTGCAACTGTGGTCTGTAGCTTACGCTACATATTCTCCCAGTCTGCTATAACCTCCCCCAGTAGACTCGGTCAAAAGCTTTCTCCTGATCTACAAACGATATGCCCAGATCTCTGCTGTGTCCTAGACTTTTTTTTCCAAAACTTGACTCAGACTCAGAGGGACGACGGCATCTTTGCATCCTTTTCTTTTCCTAAATCCAAACTGTGCATTGACCAGGTTTTCTTCGATTATGTTTCTTTAGTTTAGTTTTAGTAGAGGTTTTACGGCGCTCGCAATAGCATAAGGTCATATAAGCGCCGGAAGATTACAGGTGTTACAAGAGAGTAACAAACATAAAAAAAGAACAAGGGGAGATAAGGACGATGGATGTTTGATAGGAAAGAAGAAGCAAACCACACCAGAGCACCCGCCAACCACCCACTATATGTTTCTTACCTAGGCGTACATCTTCTTGTTGGTTTAGAACTTAGACAAATATCTCTTTTATTTCTATAAAACAAACAAAAAGCAAACAACAAAAAAACAAACAGAATAAAAACTTAAAATACCACCCCCCAAAAAAAAATCAACAACTAAAAACCAAACCAAACAACATGTTGACGAAACCGTTTTCCTGTGTTATGTCAGTTCAAAGATAAGGGAGACCATTCGTTGTCTCCGAGAGGGTTTGTAAATGAAGGCATACCTTCGCTTATCTCCTATATTCTATACTTTGTATAGTAATAATAATCCAGCCGACGTTTTCCGACACCATTTATTGATTCGTAAATGGACCATTCTATGAAAAACAAAACTACACTGGCAGAAGTAGTGCGCAGATCATATTAACCTAATCAATAACAGTTTTTTTCGTTGTTTGTTTTTGTTTGTTTGTTTTTGTTGTGGGAAGGTTGCCTGTAACGACAAGTGCCAGGTGCCGTGGAATCAGGCGCTCGTCAATGTTTGGCCATGTGGAGTTATTAGTATCATCTTAGAGTTAGAGCTTGTTTGTTTGCCTTGCTTTCGGAGAAAATATGCCCTTCTATCTCGAATAGAACTGAATATATTTGAAATTGAAGGAGGTCGGGGTCGACTGGTTTCAGAAGTAAAATTAACGAGAAAATGGCTACTTAAGTTTGGCGATTTCCAAAGCTTGAGTGCACTTGGAAATTTACATATTTTTCTGCCTTTCATCTACCTTTTTTTCCAGTAAAATCTGCACAGACCTATATTTTTAAGTGAACACAAAAGGTGTTGAGAAAAGAAAAGAAAAACAAATTGATAAAAATTGCCCATGGAGCGGAAAAATGCCTGCTTCTTTGATTTCGTTGTTTTGACGAGCGCCCGATTTCACAAAGATGTCTTACAATAGATAGGTAAATAAACAAGCAGATAAATGAATAAATAAATAAACAACTAAATAAATAAAGAAAGAAAGAAACAAATATATGAATAAATAAAAAAATTTAAAAAAGAAGCAAACAAACAAACAAATATATGAATAAATAAATAAATAAAAAAGAAAAACAGAAAGAAGCAAACAAATGAATAAATAAATAAATTAATAAGTTTAAAAAAAAGAAAGAAAGACGGAAAGAAAGAAAGAAAGAAAGAAAGAAAGAAAGAAAGAAAGAAAGAAAGAAAGAAAAAAAGAAAGAAAGAAAGAAAGAAAGAAAGAAAGAAAGACTTTATTTCTGCTTAGAACATTTTTTCGCAGCTTATCACCTCCTCATTACGTGTTGCACGGCAGATATTTTTCATGGAATGGCCCAAACGGCTGCTATTGACACTCTTTAACCCTTTCTCTGTCAGAACTGCTCCACAATAATACCAGGGAGCTTCAGACGGTATTGGGTCAGGCAGTGAAAGGGTTAATGTTAAGTTATGTGTAGAAGACTGTTCTCTAGGATTTCTACGTCAGTTCTAAACAGACTGGTTGATTGATGGGTGGATGGCTGACTGGATGGCTAGCTGGATGGATAGATGAATGAATGGATGAATGGAGGGATGGATGGACAGATGAATCAATCTATCTATCTATCTATCTATCTATCTATCTATCTATCTATCTATCTATCTATCTATCTATCTATCTATCTATCTAAACAACTTAACTTTAATTACGAGAAGACCTAAAGTAATAATATGATAATGAGAAGCTCTGTGTGGTTTTCACATAATTACAAAGATATTTTAAATTGATTAATTCAATATAATATCTTTAATTTACTCAATTTCGACATATCAGCACAGACGGATTGCAACACAATCAAACCTAGATACTCAAAATCAGCAACATGAATTTCATCTTGTGTCAATGAAACATAGCCTGTGAAACTTGGTCAAATGGGTAATCCAGCAAAATTTCACAGCAACACGTCCTTCATCATGATAAACAGTACCGATAATTTCACCTTCTTTGAGCAAAACAGCGTGCCGTTTTTCTTCCTCAACGACCAAGACGGTATTAGTAACAGCACTGATGTCGTATCTTCGGAGATTATCTACTACGTGCGCCACATTCTCTACACATCGGCAGCAGTGATTTGTGGCTTTGGCATTGTGTTCAACGTCATCATTTTGTGCGTGTTCTGTCGACAAGGCTTCGCGGAGTGTGTTCACATTTCTCTAGTGGGCCTCGCGGTGTCAGATTTGCTGGTCCTGTCTCTGAGTCTGCTTTACCGGCCCTTTTCCTGGTACCTAGAGATCTGGTTCGGTGAAGAGCCCACAGAGCTTCTGCATGCTGGTGAGTTGATGTTGTTGTTGTTGTTGTTGTTGTTGTCGTTGTTGTTGGTGTTGTTGTTGCTGTTGCTGTTGTTGTTGTTGTTGTTGTTGTTGTTGTTGTTGTTGTCGTTGTTGTTGTTGTTGCTGCTGCTGTTGTTGTTGTTGTTGTTGTTGTTGTTGTTGTTATTGTTGTTGTTGATTTTGATGTTATAGTTTTTGAGTTTTTGTTGTTGTTGCCACTATTGTCATTGTTGTTATTGTTGTTGTTGTTGTTGCTGTTGTTGTACTTGCTGTTTTTCTTCTTCTTCTTTTTCTTCTTCTTCTTCTTCTTCTTCTTCTTCTTCTTCTCCTTCTTCTTCTTCTTCTTCTTCTTCTTC